CGGGCCTCTGGAGGCAGACCTGCAGACTATGGGTATTGGCTGTGGACAATAAAGCAACCTTGTAACTTGATTCCAGTCTTGCTAGCCATGGTCTGAGGCCAAAGCTTCTCAAAGACCCACCCAGTGACACAGTGCAAGGCCCACAGACCCAGAGGGAGCCACACTCTCTTCATATAAGGGAGTTTCTGTAAGGCTATCAGCAGATTTATCAAGAGAAACCTACCCTAAGATGTCTGTAGAATTAAAGAAATTCCATCAAAATATCAATGGCATTCTTCACGGAAACAGTAGTAGCTATCCCAGTGTGAGTTTGAGCCACCAGGTCTGGGACTCGAACCGCGGTCGACTACATGGGAATTCAGCGATAGAGCCATTATGCTAACTGCTGGTCCCAATTATTACTCTTTTAATATATAAATTTTTATTTGTTAATTATACCCCAATATACCTAGAAAAAGTTAAAAAATTAAATTGTCTTTAAAAGCCAAGGGGAAAATGCGATTCAGGAAAATAAAAGTAATTATGTGAATGGATGTAACAATATTATCTTTCATACAGCAGGATCATATAGCTAGAAAAATTGTTGAAAAATTATTAGACTGACTATGAGAGTTCAAGATAGAATCGTTTTGAGGGCAGCAGGTGGCATGGATGCTAAGGTGCTGGATCTCACATGGCTGACTGCACCCGCCAGGTGGCATGGATGCTAAGGCGCCGGATCTCACATGGCTGACTGCACAGTTTGAGTCCCAGCCCAGCAACTTGAGAATCCAGCCAGGAGTGTATGTGTGCGTGCCCAAAATCTGAAGAGGAGAATGGAGGAAAAGGGATTGAGGGATGGCCAACCCTCTGGAGGGTGATTTCTCAATTCCCCTCTCTTTCTCTATCTCTCTCTCTGGTGAATGCACATGCCCTACAGCAAACAATAACAATGATAATATAATTTAATTATTTTTTCTGGACATTCAGCAAAACTTGCTTCAGGGAAGACTATAATGACGACATGTCCTCTGTCCTCCTGGGAGACTGGTAGAGATAATGCAAAGCCTCTGGAAACTGTTGAAATGACACACTGAGAGTTCTGTAAGAATACGGATCTGAATTAGCAAACACTAATAGTGGCAAAGAGAGAATCATTATCCTTTTTTACTCCCCAGATAAAAATAAACATAGTCTCTAATATTCCTGAATCTAAGGTAAACTGCAACTGTGCTACGAATTCTATAGACTCTGGAGGATGAGGTTACTTGGGTCACTGCCAACCTCCCTTTCTTAATGTCACTCCTCTGTCCCATCTCTCTCGCCCTTTGCCCTGTTGTAGTGGAAGCTCCCTCAACCCTGGACCGAGGAGAAAGAAAATAACTGTCAAGTGCTCAATCCAAGATGGCTGCAGGCAGGTTTCCTTTGTGCTTTTGGAGCAAGCCCTTCCTTCCAATGATAAAACGCAGGAGAGAGTTACTCCGGACAAAAGATGGTGAACCCCGATTCACTGAGCCATTCTTTTTTCTTTCTTCCTTTTTTTTTTTTTTTTTGGAGAGGTTTTTGCTATAGGGCACATGCGCTCACCAGAAAGTCAGAGAGAGACAGAGAGACAGAAAGCGAGAAATCACTCCCCAGGGGGATGGCCACACCACAATCCCTTCTCCTCCATTCTCCTCTCGGGATCTTGGACACACACGCACACGCACCCAGTGTGAGTTCAAGCTGCCGGGTCCGGGACTAGACCACGGTTGACTACGTGGGAGTCCAGCAACAGCCATTACGCTAACTGCTGGTCCCTGAGCCATTCTTCATAACACACTTGTGTGGCGGCTAGGCTCACTGACATACTGCTTGGATCAGACCAGAAGAGGCAGGATTGGGAAGGTTGTGAGACAAAGTCTGCATTTCAGGACTCTGGGCCGCTCTAGAAATCATCTGGGGCTCTTGCTAAAATGCTGGGTCCACCTTAGCAGGTCTGGGATGGCCATAAGGAACTCCTGGGTGTGGGTGGTTGCTGTGCACCACACATTGAGCAGGAAGGTCCAGAGGTACTTCTTAGCAGGCTGATGCTGGTGGAGCAGAGCTGGGTCGGTATGGAAGTTCATGGGGTTGGTTCTGGGGTCGGCCTGTGTATGCCAGGGGTACATGCCCATGATCCTGGCTCTGGACAGTGGGAGGTATATGCGAGGTCAGCAGATAATGGGGGAGATCACAGGGTAAGATCTGCTGCTGATGCTTGTTTTTATCTGTCTCTCCTGTCTCTCTCTGTTTCTCACTTTCTTAAAAAATAAAAATAAAAGACTTTTAAAAAGCACAGAAATACTTTTTAGATATCCTTAGATAGAGTGAAACTTACCGAGTGGCCACTTACAGGATACAGATGTATTCTACTTTTAGGTAATAAGCTGCATTCCTTAAAAGCACCAAGAGCCCATGGACCATACGGACTGTACTTTCTGTGTTACTCATGCTTCAAGAGCTCTGTGATGTTGTCGGGGCCCTGCATCTTGATCCTTTATCAGAAAATACCAGTCTTATAGTCAGAAACTTGCTATTCACTGGGTTTGCAAACAAACCCTTTCAGGTAAAAAATAAAAATCTTTTTCTATAAGAATCCTTTCCCAGACTTATGTGGCTCATTGGGAAGAGGCTTTGTGCAGACCTCTAAAGTGGGAGCCTCCTGAATCTGTCAGATGACTTCAGGGCAGGGACCAGTTACCATCAGAGGGAAAACCAGACTCAGCTCTGGTCCTCTTGGTCTGAATTAGAAACCAGGTCTGTGTAGGGTTGGGTGATCGGGTATGTGGATCATCAGTCAAGAGGGTAAGGAAAGGGTTACATATCCCCAAATAAAAAATCCCTCCAAGTAACTGAAGATGTCTACATCAAATCATGAAGAGAGATTTGGAAATCAGAGCAATGTTGGCTGTGTTCCCACGTGGCCTGACTGCAGGCAGGTGGAGAAGAGGGGACAGAGCCTGAGGCCCACAGGCAGTGTCCTGCTCCTACTTGGCAATGAGGTGGACCTCGTGACGATGATACTGCACTTGGCCCTACTGCTCACAGCAGCTCTTTTTCTGTAGAGCAGCATCCACCCGCTGCAGTCCAGGACAATTCAGTAGGACTCTCAGGCATCCCGAGCCTACCTAAGGTCACAGAAGAGTAGCTCATCACCTGACAGTGACCTTCACAGACTAAGAGCACCTGCCTTTCATTTCATCTTGGGCAGGAAACACGTTTGACAATAGGGATGTTCCAAAGGAAGAGCTTGATAATGCCCTTCAGCAGGTCTGTTTAGCCATACACCGAGTAGCAGAGTAAGTTAAAACTGAAGCACCTAGGACTGATCAAAACCAGCTAGTCAGTTTATTCACTTACTTGGAAGAGCTGTCCAATGATGTAATGACTTGCTAAAGGCCTTGACTTTCTTCTGTGGATGCATGAATTAATAGGCTCTATTCTCACCTACTCGGGATGATTTGCTATATGTCTGCTTACAGGTCAGGGAGTAGGTTATGCATCATAATGGGCCTGATTGTGTTTCAGAGCTCAGGCTGGTTTAGGAGCCCACCAGGGTTCCAAGGGAAATAGTAGACAGTGGGGTTGAGACTTCGTTCACGGCGGCAGAACTGACTACTTTCTCTTGGACCAAAGGGAATCGCTGAACCTCTCCCTGTCTGGACAGGTGAGTGCCTGTCATCATAAACTCACACATCAGTCCCCAACCATAAAACCTCGAGTTCACAGAGCATATTTGTGCAAGCTATTTTTTTTTAACACGCACAATAGCCATGCTAGGCCACTCCCTAAGACTAGGCAATGGTAGAGCTGGGATGTCTGCAGCTTGGACCTCAGGCCTCGCCCTGTTGTTATGCCCTAGGTAGCCCCTCACTGATCAGTGATGCAGGAGTAACTGGGGTCCTGTGGTTCTTGCCATACTACACACATGTGGGGAAGGCCCTAGCTAATGTCTAGGTACTTTTCTGAAGGCATTCTAGCCCTGAGAGGAGGGAGGAACATAACAGAGAATGTGCTGCACGTGGAACTGTAAAGAATCTCACAATTACAACTCATCTTAATGTAAGGTTTTGGTCAAACCCCCCCCCCAAGATAATGTAACAGCCACTTAGTCGCTGGCATTTAGTAAGAACTAAGTCTGAGATGCTATTTTTTTTTAATCATTTTATTTTGGAGAGGTTTTTGCTATAGGGTGCTTGGGCTCACCAGAAAGAGAGATAGAGAGATAGAAAGCGAGAAATCATCCCCCAGGAGGCATGGCCACACCACAATCCCTTCTCCTCCATTCTCCTCTCGGGATCTTGGGCACGCACGCACATGTGCCCAGCATGAGTTTACTCCACCGGGTCCAGGACTTGAACCGTGGTCAACTACATGGGAGTCCAGCAACAGCCATTACGCTAACTGCTGGTCCCTGAGCCATTCTTCATAACACACTTGTGTGGCGGCTAGGCTCACTGACATACTGCTTGGATCAGACCAGAAGAGGCAGGATTGGGAAGGTTGTGAGACAAAGTCTGCATTTCAGGACTCTGGGCCGCTCTAGAAATCATCTGGAGCTCTTGCTAAAATGCTGGGTCCACCTTAGCAGGTCTGGGATGGCCATAAGGAACTCCTGGGTGTGGGTGGTTGCTGTGCACCACACATTGAGCAGGAAGGTCCAGAGGTACTTCTTAGCAGGCTGATGCTGGTGGAGCAGAGCTGGGTCAGTATGGAAGTTCATGGGGTTGGTTCTGGGGTCGGCCTGTGTATGCCAGGGGTACATGCCCATGATCCTGGCTCTGGACAGTGGGAGGTATATGCGAGGTCAGCAGATAATGGGGGAGATCACAGGGTAAGATCTGCTGCTGATGCTTGTTTTTATCTGTCTCTCCTGTCTCTCTCTGTTTCTCACTTTCTTAAAAAATAAAAATAAAAGACTTTTAAAAAGCACAGAAATACTTTTTAGATATCCTTAGATAGAGTGAAACTTACCGAGTGGCCACTTACAGGATACAGATGTATTCTACTTTTAGGTAATAAGCTGCATTCCTTAAAAGCACCAAGAGCCCATGGACCATACGGACTGTACTTTCTGTGTTACTCATGCTTCAAGAGCTCTGTGATGTTGTCGGGGCCCTGCATCTTGATCCTTTATCAGAAAATACCAGTCTTATAGTCAGAAACTTGCTATTCACTGGGTTTGCAAACAAACCCTTTCAGGTAAAAAATAAAAATCTTTTTCTATAAGAATCCTTTCCCAGACTTATGTGGCTCATTGGGAAGAGGCTTTGTGCAGACCTCTAAAGTGGGAGCCTCCTGAATCTGTCAGATGACTTCAGGGCAGGGACCAGTTACCATCAGAGGGAAAACCAGACTCAGCTCTGGTCCTCTTGGTCTGAATTAGAAACCAGGTCTGTGTAGGGTAGGGTGATCGGGTATGTGGATCATCAGTCAAGAGGGTAAGGAAAGGGTTACATATCCCCAAATAAAAAATCCCTCCAAGTAACTGAAGATGTCTACATCTAATCATGAAGAGAGATTTGGAAATCAGAGCAATGTTGGCTGTGTTCCCACGTGGCCTGACTGCAGGCAGGTGGAGAAGAGGGGACAGAGCCTGAGGCCCACAGGCAGTGTCCTGCTCCTACTTGGCAATGAGGTGGACCTCGTGACGATGATACTGCACTTGGCCCTACTGCTCACAGCAGCTCTTTTTCTGTAGAGCAGCATCCACCCGCTGCAGTCCAGGACAATTCAGTAGGACTCTCAGGCATCCCGAGCCTACCTAAGGTCACAGAAGAGTAGCTCATCACCTGACAGTGACCTTCACAGACTAAGAGCACCTGCCTTTCATTTCATCTTGGGCAGGAAACACGTTTGACAATAGGGATGTTCCAAAGGAAGAGCTTGATAATGCCCTTCAGCAGGTCTGTTTAGCCATACACCGAGTAGCAGAGTAAGTTAAAACTGAAGCACCTAGGACTGATCAAAACCAGCTAGTCAGTTTATTCACTTACTTGGAAGAGCTGTCCAATGATGTAATGACTTGCTAAAGGCCTTGACTTTCTTCTGTGGATGCATGAATTAATAGGCTCTATTCTCACCTACTCGGGATGATTTGGTATATGTCTGCTTACAGGTCAGGGAGTAGGTTATGCATCATAATGGGCCTGATTGTGTTTCAGAGCTCAGGCTGGTTTAGGAGCCCACCAGGGTTCCAAGGGAAATAGTAGACAGTGGGGTTGAGACTTCGTTCACGGCGGCAGAACTGACTACTTTCTCTTGGACCAAAGGGAATCGCTGAACCTCTCCCTGTCTGGACAGGTGAGTGCCTGTCATCATAAACTCACACATCAGTCCCCAACCATAAAACCTCGAGTTCACAGAGCATATTTGTGCAAGCTATTTTTTTTTAACACGCACAATAGCCATGCTAGGCCACTCCCTAAGACTAGGCAATGGTAGAGCTGGGATGTCTGCAGCTTGGACCTCAGGCCTCGCCCTGTTGTTATGCCCTAGGTAGCCCCTCACTGATCAGTGATGCAGGAGTAACTGGGGTCCTGTGGTTCTTGCCATACTACACACATGTGGGGAAGGCCCTAGCTAATGTCTAGGTACTTTTCTGAAGGCATTCTAGCCCTGAGAGGAGGGAGGAACATAACAGAGAATGTGCTGCACGTGGAACTGTAAAGAATCTCACATGAATCTGGGACCAGCAGTTAGCGTAATGGCTATGTCACTGGACTCCCATGTAGTCGACCGCCGTTCGTGTCCCAGACCCAGTGGCTTAAAACTTATGCCGGGTGCATGGGCGTGCGTGTGTGCCCAAGATCCTGAGAGGAGAATGGAGGAGAAGGGATTGCGGTGGGACCATCCCCCCTCGGGGGGGGGGTGATTTCTCTCTTTCTGTTTCTTTGTCTCTCTCTGTCTGGCAAGCGCACGCACTCCATAGCCAAAACCTCTCCAAACAAAAAAAGAATCCCACATGAATCTGAGGGAGTAGCAACAGCTAGCTACTCAGAGCTAATCCCTTGTTTAATATGAAGTGATCACCATCTGCTCACAAAGGACAGCCCTGCTCCAGGAGCCTCATCTGGCTGCTACAGGAGTGTTGAAACATGAGGGCCATCAGCAGCCGGGGGAAGAAGTGGATCATTGCTTTCCTGTAAGAGCCAATGGGCAACAGGGTGCACAAGGCCTGGGATGCCTGCAGGGAAGGAAGAGAGTGAAGAGTGTACCATCTTCCTCAAAATCCAGACCATATCACTACGGGGAAGGAGGGCCTGTGCAACCCTCCTGCAACTTCCTAAATAGAGGTATGCATGCACATTCATTCCTCAGTAATAGTCGGATCATTGCTTTCCTGTAAGAGCCAATGGGCAACAGGGTGCACAAGGCCTGGGATGCCTGCAGGGAAGGAAGAGAGTGAAGAGTGTACCATCTTCCTCAAAATCCAGACCATATCACTACGGGGAAGGAGGGCCTGTGCAACCCTCCTGCAACTTCCTAAATAGAGGTATGCATGCACATTCATTCCTCAGTAATAGTCACCATGTCATCTCCTAAATAGAGGTATGCATGCATGCACATTCATTCCTCAGTAATAGTCACCATGTCATTGTGAACCAGGAACCCTGGTAAGGGACTCCCAGAGTAATATAACCCCCACTACCAAAACATCAGAAAGCAAGCTGGTTCTCAAAGGTCATACAGTCCAATGGGGTCCCCTTCACACATGGCCACAAAGAATAGTCTACTACCAAGCCAGTTCCTCCTTGTGCTCATGCATTACAGGAAAGTGGGATGGTTAGGAGGGAGCAGGCAGGTCCCCGACAGATCATTCAGCATGCTGACCACTGCAACGCCCACCAACAGAAACACATATTCCAACACCTCACATTTGTGAATCAGAGCCATTTATTTGTTACTACAGCTCTGGAATTTACTCCTAGGAGTGGTGATTTGGGTCCTTGGGAGACATTGCAATGATGAAGAGGAATGAGATTATGCCTGTCAAGTCTGCATGATCTAGCTGGTGGTTACACCACTTGTTACTTTGTTCAGCTCACGACAGCCTGTGGCTTCCCTGAATTCATGGACAGTCAGGTGAATGCCCATCATGCAGGACCTTGACCCTTTTCTCTGTCCAGAACTCTTTTTATGTTTGTTCTTAGAGAGAGATTTTTTCTTTAGGGTATGTGCACTTGACAGTCGAGAGAGACAGAGACAGAAAGTGAAAAATCATCCTCGAGGGAGGATGGTCACACCACAATCCCTTTTCCTCCATTCTCACACATGCACACATGCTGACCTGAATTTTAAGTCACCAGGTCCAGGACTAGAACCATGGTTGACTACACAGGAGTCCAGTGACTTAACCATTATTCCATCTACTGGTCCCTAGAGGTCTCTTTCTTAGATATATGTAAGGATCGTACCT